GCAACACGTGAGTGAATTGCCACACGTGTTACATCGTGGGAATGATAGCATCCCAGAACAGCATTCCTCGGAGAGGAATGCGGGGTAGAACAACAGCCAGGTGGCCGCCGAGGCCGAGCGGCATAAACGCTCGACCGAGGACGGAGATACGCGGGTGGGCGGGCCCAGCCGCGGGGTTCTCAGTTCCAACCCCTGACCGAGCCCAAAGGTCAAAAAGGGGGACTCTCGTTGAGAGCCTCCTGAGAGCGAAAGCCTTAGCAGCTGTGTGTCGAAGAGTATACGGAAGTATAGCCGAAGCACCAGTTAGGCCGACGAACACCTGTTCTAAGGCTTCCTCTCGAACCCTTTTTAACATCCGAGTTCCTTTCTATTTTCGCTTGCCACTAACTCGTCTCAAGCCGAGTTACTGACTCATCTGGTAACAGACGACCGTGAACCGCTGGTTGGTATGTCCCCTCCTTCATGCCAAGAGGTTACTAACCAGGTGGCAGATCACACTGGTACCCTTCGTCAAGCCTCACTCACTTGACTTAGGCTTAACCCGTGTGAACCCTGCTACAATCTTCAGTCACACGCTCTCCCAACTGAGCTATCGCGGCGCTGTGTGGGGGGACGGGCGCCACGCCGGCTACATCAGGTGAAACTGGAGCGCCTGGGCCCTGGCATGTGATCCTCCCGAGGCTGGCAATCCTCCGCCTGGGGATTTGGCCCGGCGCAGAGCCGGCCCCCGACAACAGAGGAGGGAGAAGGCGCAGCGGGTGGTGTGTGTCTTTTTGGAGGGGCACGCCACCGGCGGCTGAGCCACGCCCCTGGACGAGGGGAACCGCCTGGGTGTGCTCGGGCAGCTCCATGTTGAGGGGCACGAGTGCGGGCCAAAGAATGCCGCTCCTCCGGGGTACTGTGGGCTTGGGGGCCGGGGGGGGGGGGGGGGTGAAGGACAGGGTTCCCACATCCAGGGCGCCAGGGAAAGAGAGGGAGGGACTCGGACAGTGGCCGATATGTGGCCCGTGCCGGGAGTGGCCGATTCACACGGCTTGCTCGGCAGGTGGGGGTGGGAAGAGCACCCTCTCGGGAGGGGAGCTGCCGGAGCGGTTGCGGGCACATTGTTGCGGTGGAAAGACGACAACGAAGGTTTTCCGGCGTCAAAGAGGGAGAGAGAGAGAGAGAGAGAGAGAGAGAGAGAGAGAGAGAGAGAGAGAGAGAGAGAGAGGGCGGGACGAGAGGGGGGCGAACAGCAGGGTGGTAGGGGAATAATCGCCCGGGGCGCGCCGAAGCCGGGGAAAAAGGACGGGCGCGGAAAAAGAGGCGAGGGCCCACCCGGGGTTGATCCGGGGACCTGTCGATCTGCAGTCGACCGCTCTACCACTGAGCTATAGACCCGTTCGCTGGAATCCAGCACCTCAGTGAAATTTATGAATCTTCTGTCATGGGCCATATGGCGCGCAGGCGGTTGCCGACGAAGCGCGGGGGGAGGGGTCCTGCTCGGTCCAGCGCCCCGAGATCGAGAGCGGGAGCATTCCCCGACGGGCTGGGCGGGCCTCCGGGTTGTCTTTCGTGGTCTGCCGGTTCGACTGGGTCCGATGGGCTGGAACGAGCAGGCGGCCCGCAGGGTGGGGATGGGGCACTCGAGGCAAGCAGACATCCGGCGAAGTCCTGACAGGGGTGCCTGTGGCCGGATGAGGAGGATCATGCTCCGGGGCTTTTTGGCATTCTTTCTCGAGCGCGACTTTTGGGAAAGCCAGGCGGAGCCCTCTGCGGAGGCATCGCGCCACAGGGAGGCAGGGGGGGCGGGGGCCTGATCCGGCCGCGAGGCCACGAAGCGAGAGTCCGCGAGGCAACCGAGGGCAGCATTGGCTTCCCAGTCCCATGGGGGAGTTCCCCCCGGTAAAAGGGGGCGTGGGCATGTGGGCTGCTCCCGGAAGCCGAGACACTCCGCATGTGTGCGCGTACTGCGGGTCAGGGGGCGCCGACATCTCCCGCCGGGGAGTTCGGCTGGTGGGCAGGGTGGAAGAGATGCCGAGGCCGAAGGGCGGTACTCTGGGGGTGGTGGTGCCAGGCCGCGGGGGCCCTCCTCCCGCTTCGAGAATGCGGAGCAAGAGTTACCGGCCGGTCGGCAGGGTATTGCATGAGAGCGGAACACCGGGGGGG